TATATATATTTACAACAGTCACTTGTCAGTTTTAAAATCCCTACTATTACAAATGATTCCAAGACAAGTACATGTATCTTATATTCCTTATTTACATGACTACATTATTGTCTTGAAATTGCCAAATTGATTTGAATTTGTATTGTCACATAATCATGCTATACACATGAACTTTCGTACGTTATACTCTCCCAGGTCAGGTCAATAAAAATCACAATTAAAGAACGTAAAAAGAAGTCATTCAGTAAAGGTAAAGTTACATTTCAGTTCCACCAGGCAACTTTACATCGATTTTAAGTCAACATGCGTGAACGTATTTAAATAGAAAGAATAGATTATGTTATATGTTAACCATGCACCAGTGTGCATGTGCCTTTCAGTTAGTGTGATTCTATAAGTCTTAAAACAACATGGATGTCTGTGTGTGTGTGTTGATCGTGTGGGATTATTGAGCAACTGAAGTTTTCTCTTTAATTCACTTAGTCTGATGGAGCACTAGTCTTCCTGAATTCCAAGGTGTCTAAACATTTAAATGTATAGATCTGCAAAACACATCCAAACATCATCAATAATGAAAACTATACAGAAAGAGTTATAATCACAATACTATACAAAGGGGGAAATCTAGTATAACTTTTGTAGCAGAAACAAAAATAACGATTTTTCTTTGCCACTCTTCGGTTGCCCAAAAATGTGGATTTAATGGTGTTTTTCGTACTGAGAGTTTACCACCGAGGCAGTCGGTTCTGTGCCATAAGACACATTTCCAGCATTTAAGGATTCAGGCATTGCTTGAGACTGGTCTTGACTTGGGTTGTTTGTTACATGACATTACGAATCAGCTACCAAAGGACGCACCCTACAAGAACACCAGCGATATCCCTGGGGAATTCTACGCCGCAAAAGTGACAACTAAAACTATTCTGACTGGCCTATAAGGTACATTTTTGCTATTGGATAGTCATTAAAGGTAAATCTCTTGTGTAGAGTTACATCTTAACGGGTGGGATTCATTTCTCTAAGCAGATGTTTCAACTGTTGGCAAGGGTTAAACTATTAACGATATCTGTCAGAAAGACTTTCAGAAAACGTTCAATAATCGTCCATCCCAACCTATGCTTATAGAAATTGTGTTAGCTCTGAAGAGGAAACCAAGGTTGCTACTCCCTGAAACGATAATTTTGTCTGGGCTATTTGGGCAGTGCATCAATGTGGGGACAGTATAAGCAGCCTTTTCACACTCTAAACAAGACACACAAGGAAAATACGTTGTTACAACGCGATCCGTTATTGGTGCACTTAGAACTGACGTCATATCCTGTCCCCTATCAATGTCTAACGCCATCGAACTGCGCAAACTCTCATAAATGTTCATGTTATTCAAATAACCAGCTTCAGACAATTAACACCACCATATACATAATACCAATCTTTGGTTGTTTGTCACACGGCATTTCGGATCAGCTACCGAAGGACGCACCCTACAAGAACACCAGCGACGTCCCTGACGAATTCTACTCCCAGAAAGTGCCAACTGAAGTTATTTTGACTGGCTTAAAAGGTACATTTCATTTGCGTAGACAATCTACATCTTAGTCAGGGTTTATGTCCCAAAGCAGATGTTATTGTGGACGATTGTTTGTTTTTCAACTGTTGGCAAGCGTAGGTTAACTAAGATAGCGGTTAGAAAAGTCGCAGGGAAAAGTTCAGCATCCTCCTCCCCAACAACTACTTGGAGATAGCCTGGTAACCAGACCGCCGTGAGCTCAGCGCTATCCATTCGGCGCCAAGAGCGTTTGGGGCCGCCAACCAGGCCTCAATTACCGCGCTTCGAGGGGGGGGGGGTAGGTTTCTTCGCTCACAACTAAGCGTAATACAGGAAGTCAGCGGATACAGGAAAACCAGCTGGAGATAGGTCCGTGGCATAACTCGCCTTTGCTTAGTAAAGGCCGGGGCAAAAAGATTACAGCCAAGCCGACCAAAGGTTTGGTACTTGGAGATTATGTTAGTTTTGAATGGGAAACAGGGTTGCTACGCCCTGATTGTTACCTCCATGAAAAATGGAGGTATTGTTTTTGGCGACGTCTGCTGTGTGTCTGTGTGTGTGTGTGTGTGTCTGTGTGTGTGTCTGTGTGTCTGTGTGTGTTTCCGCAACTTTGTGGTCAGCATAACTTCAGAACGCCTTTATGGATTATGGTGATATTTGGTATGTTGGTAAGTCTTAGGAAGACAAATGTCAAGGTCAAGTATGGGCCTCCTGGTGGATGACCTTGGTACTGCAGCAGAACTTCCGTTTTTTGTATCTTTTTTCCTGAACATGCTATGGTCTTGATGTTTTGGTGACAGATTGCTTTTCCTGTCAGGAATAAGTGGTGTGAGTTTGGTCTCGGAATTCTTGTTTTATTTTGTGACGTTGTGTCCTTGGGATAGATTCTGGCTGGCCCCGCCACCTTCCCAGCTAACAGTCTATTTAGGATATTTTACTAGAATTTCCCTCTCTCTAGTCTAAATGTATTTAATTATTGAAACTGTTATAGCTTATTTGTCTACACTTATCAGGAGGTTTTGTACAATTACATCATTTGGACAAGATTGGATAAGAAACACAGTCCTAAAGTGACTGTAATAATATTTAAGAAGTAAATAGAGGAATCTTGCAAGTGAAGTGTTACATTTTCTATCCTGAATATGATGTACTTAAGGTGAAAAGGGCCATAAAACGTCAGCAAAAAGAGTAAACAACATGAACATTAATATTCAAACAGCCTGTTTCAGACAATCAACACAACCGTATAAATTAGCTGATTTAAAACTACAGAAGAACGTATGCTGCGCATGCCACATACAGCAGCAAATAATTACAAGGGAGCAAAACTGCAGTTTCTATGATATTAAACAGTCAAACAGAATATATGAAATAGTTTTGAAATCATGATCTGTAGACCACATTAATTTGGTTCACTGATACGTTGAAGAAATGAATTTATTAAGGGGTGAAAAATGTAAGCGTATATGAGGCATAATGACCCAAGAATAAACCTGTACAGCTATCTTTTTTAAGCTTCAGGTTGATTTGTCTACATATTATTGGGCTTACAAAGGACCTTCCTGCTGCTCTGTTTAGGTGACACCATGGGAGGAAAGCTGCGACACTTCCTGATTTTCCTCCTCATCATCCTGAAGGAGCCCAACATGCCAGAAGGTACCGGCTGCAGCTGTGAACCATCATCGCCCTGCAATTGCCAAAAGCTAGGCCTCATCAGCATCCCTCAGAACCTCCCAACTTCCATATCTCAATTGGATTTACGGGGTAATTTTATAACAGTTGTTAATCGATCCGTGCTGCAAAGTTATAGCAGTTTAATTCGGTTAAACTTGGGGAAGAATTGCATTGTGATTCTGGATTCTGTTCCCAAACTGCCCAAACTCAAATGGTTGTTCTTAAACAACAACAAAATAACTAACATCAACCCCGGTACATTTTCAAATCTACCCAGGCTAACAAATTTGTACCTTTTCTCCAACCAGATTACAAAGATTGAGTCAGGTACATTCGCAAATCTACCCCAGCTAAATTTTTTGACTCTGACCTCTAACCAGATAAGAAAGATTCAGCCAGGTGTGTTTAAAAATTTAGACCGGCTAGACGATTTGTCGCTGTCCACCAATCAGTTAATAAAGCTTCATCCGGATACATTTACAAATCTAGTCCGGCTTCGAGCGTTGTCCCTGTCCGGCAACAATATAACAAAAGTTCATGCCGGCACATTTGCAAATCTACCCTGCCTCGAAGAGTTGTATATGACTCAGAGCCAGGTAAAAATAATTCAGCCTGGAGCATTTGAAAATCTCCCCCGGTTGACAGACTTTCGCCTGAACCAGAATCTGATCACAACAATTCAGACTGGTTTATTTGTAAATTTACCCTGCCTCAAAAACGTGTACCTGTACCAAAACAATATAGCAAAGATTCAACCAGGTGCATTTGCAAATCTACCGCAGTTTCGAGAGTTGGGCCTTGGCGGCAACAGCATTACAACAAGCCAGGCTGGTTCACTCGCAAATCTAACCCATATCAAAAAGCTGCAGCTGGTATTTAACCAAATATCAAAGATCCAACTTGATACATTTCCATATCTACCCCGACTTCAAGAGTTGAACCTGCGTAGAAACCAGATTACCATGATTCAGCCTGGTGCACTTGCAAATCTACCCGAACTCCACAAGTTGTCACTGTTTGAAAACCAAATAAAAGTGATTCAGTTTGGTACATTTGCAAATCTGTCCCGGCTGCAGAACTTGAACCTGGGCTACAATCAGATAACTACCATCCATTCTGGCGCATTTGCAAATCTGCCCCAACTCCAAACTTTGGATCTTCGGTCTAACAACATGTCTGCCATTCCCTCCTTTGTCCATGGTTTGCCACTGTCAATACGTATCATAAAACTTGACGGCAACCCCTGGCAGTGTGACTGCAGGATGGCTCCTTTCAGGATAAATATGACTGAATTTCCGCTATTAAAAGACCATATAACATGTGAAAATCCCGCCAAATTCAAGGGGCAGAATCTTGCAAATATCAGCACTGAAGAATTGGTATGTGAAGAGTCTGTTCCTATCAAAGTAACCCCTAACTACCATTACAATAGCACCGTTACTTCTCGCTATCACTGGTATTTCAAACGTAATGCCGACTCAACAGCAATCCCTGTCAGCAAAATAAGAGCGACAATAACTACATCCCCTGCAATCACTTCAGACAAACCAGAAAGCAACGGTTCTAGTTACAATG